GTTGCTCCTGCATCTCCAATCTGATTATGGCAAAGGTTCAAAGAAGTCAGGGAAGAATTTGATTCTAAAGCCCTTGCCAATGCTGTTGCTCCTGCATCTCCAATCTGATTATAATCAAGTTCCAAAGAAATCAGGGAAGAATTTGATTTTAAAGCATTTGCCAATGCTGTTGCTCCTGTATCTCCAATCTGATTAGTAGAAAGCTTTAGAGAAATCAGGAAAGAATTTGATTTTAAAGCATTTGCTAATTCTGTTGCTCCTGCATCCCCTATCTGATTATGATGAAGGTTCAAAGAAGTTAAGGAAGAATTTGATTCTAAAGCCTTTGCCAATTCTGTTGCTCCTGCATCCCTAATCTGATTATGATAAAGGTTCAAAGAAATCAGGGAAGAATTTGACCTTAAAGCCATTGCCAATGCTGTTGCTCCTGCAGCTCCAATCTGATTATAATCAAGTTCCAAAGAAGTTAGGGAAGAATTTGATCTCAAAGCCATTGCCAATGCTGTTGCTCCTGCAGCTCCAATCTGATTATAATCAAGCTCCAAAGAAGTCAGGGAGGAATTTGATTTTAAAGCATTTGCCAATTCTGTTGCTCCTGCATCCCCAATCTGATTATGATAAAGGTTCAAAGAAGTCAAGGAAGAATTTGATTCTAAAGCCTTTGCCAATGTTGTTGCTCCTGCATCTCTAATCTGATTATAATCAAGTTCCAAAGAAGTGAGGGAAGAGTTTGATTCTAAAGCCTTTGCCAATGCTGTAGCTCCTGTATCACCAATCTGATTAGCAGAAAGTTTCAAAGAAGTCAGGGAAGAATTTGATTTCAAAGCATTTGCCAATTCTGTTGCTCCTGCATCATCCCCAATCTGATTATGATAAAGGTTCAAAGAAGTTAGGGAAGAATTTAATCTTAAAGCATTTGCTAATGCTGTTACTCCTGCAATTCCAATCTGATTATGATCAAGTTCCAGAGATGTCAGGGAAGAATTTGATTCCAAAGCCTTTGCCAATGCTGTAGCTCCTGAGTCTCCAATCTGATTGGCAGAAAGTTTCAAAAAGGTCAGGGAAGAATTTGACTCTAAAACTTCTGCCAATTCTTTTGCTCCTGTATCTCCAAACTGATTATATGAAAGTATCCAAGAACTAACAGAAGGGTTTGATTTTAAAGCATCATTCAGTGCTGTCACTCCTCTACTTCTCAGTTTCAAAGAAAGATCCAACACTCTACCTGGTAAATGCTGATTTCTATTCTTAAATAACATGTTTAATTGTTTGTATATTTCCTCACATAATGGTCGTTCATCAAGACTTTCACTCCAACATGCTGAATATAGCTGAACATATGCTTCTGGTGTTCCCGGAATTGGAGAATCTCGATAGCCTTGTTTTCTATGTTCTATCACATTATAATGAGTGCAATTTTTACAAGGAATTTCCCCACTAGAAATTTCCCAGAGTAACACTCCAAGACTAAAGATATCAGCCTTCTTTCCACGTTTGTATGGTTGAACTCTAAATGATAAGGGATCTCTGTATGGTGCAGCACCATCTCCTATTGATGAGGATGTTATCTGTCCAGATAGGCCAAAATCACTAACATTTGCAATACCAGACTTGATAAGAATGTTGGTGGAAGACTGTAAATAAAAAGAAACATAATAATTATTAGTTTATAATCATTAAGCATAAAATATGTAACATGACGAAAATAAAGCATAATATTACCAAGTCTTTGTGGATGATATTAAGCTTATGCATGTGTCTCAAACCATTGGTAATTTCCAGGCTGAGCTTGTATTTGTCTTTCCATGTTAAACTATGAAAATGTTGCACCAAGTGATGGCGCAAAGTTCCGCCATCAGCAAACTCGAAAATCATATGATAACAGTTGTCTTCGTCTTTAGATTGAAAAATACATATGTTAAGTGTAGAAATACATCATCATGTAAACGATTACAAGGGTATACTTACAGACACCTAATAATCGGATAATATTCGGATAACCGCTCAGTTTCTTGTGGTTTTTCAGCTGATATTGTATGTAAATCATTAGCTATAAATTGGCGATAATAAAGCTGTAAATACTCTAATATTAAACAAAAATCAATAACAACCTCTTTGGCAAGCTTTTTGTAAAATTTTTCCTCACAACCGTGGGCATCCCGATACAAAGTTTTTGTGGCGACAGTCAATCTATTGTGTTTCATCGTCGCCTTATACACTGCTCCGTAGGCACCACCAGCAATAGGTATCTGACCCACATCAATGTCGCTCTTTGGATAGCAGCGGATAGAACCCTCTTGAATACGTTTGTCTATCCATTCCTTATTAAGCTCTTCCCGCTGATAACAAATTACTTGAGATTGCACAGGTTCATAAATTTCCATCTGAGAAAAATGATGTGAAGAACCATTCCCCGATTGACCAACGTTGTGTTCTAGTAGAAACGCTTGCTGCATGTTTGCTTGCGACAGAGACAGACGTGGAATAATCTCCGTTGGTGGATAGACCTGTAGTGTCATAATAGTATGCATAAGAATGAGCTTGGTACGGTTAACTTACAGTAATTCGAACAAACCTGTGATTGGGCATGCTCCGATGGCTCGATCGGAAAAATTCCACAAATGTTTTGAACCGAGTTTTGTCGGCTCAGTTCATGTTCAGATTGCATCGGCATAACGACTCCGTTCGGTTTCTGTTGTTGAAAAGCGCCATTCAAATTCGGTTGCTGAATCGTACCTGTCAGCAATTGTTCATAGTCAGGCAGAACGGAATTGACTAGTATTTGTTGCGGACCACCGTCGGTAAACATATCAGTGGGTGATTGTGAAAGACTGAGCGATGATTGGTCTTTTCGAGACTGTTTTCTTGCTTGAAAGACGTTTTGTAGGCCATTCAGCAAACCTGATACAATCGTGGATGGAAACGTGTAGCGGTGTCGAGACTGCTGTTGTCGCACCGATTTTTTTTGCTGTTGATAAGGTTGTTGCGACATTTTGTCGGTTAAGCAAAGATTAAGTCATTCGTAGTTTATGAGCCAATAATTGAGAATCCGCAGATTACGTTACACTGTATACATATGGTTATAATTTCAATGAGAATTCCGCAAATTCTAATTCACCATCGCATATGCTCATCTGTCAATTCCCTCTCCAAAAGTTAAATTATCAACAGCTTTGCTCACATATTCACCATTTTTGCTTGTTAACCTTCTATAAAGAACTACTTCGTCCTTTGAATCCCATGCTATTCCATTATTCGGCAAGATTTGCTGATCTTTGCTTAATATTCCTATCGGATTTCCATTTCCATTCTCAATAGACGTTTCGGGAATAAATTCGTGTCGATCTTCGATACGGTTTTATAGACCATCATGTTTACCATACATATGTACATACATTACGTTAACTTATTCTACTTAAATCCCTTCTCAATTCCACCTTTCCTTTTCCTATTCTTTCTCTTTTGTAAATGACTATTATATTAATGCCCTGTCCTCCCGCTGCTCGGTCGTAATTTTATAACGGCATGACATGCGACACTTTTGCATGTAAGTTCCTTGCGATTAATAAGACGAGTGAAGGAAGCATTTTTCGCATTATTACCAGTGATATTAATAATGTGTGAAAGATAATCGCTCTCAATGATCTATGAAAATGAGTAGTTGACAATTTTGAGGGAGGTGTGTCGAAATTTGAGTTTTTGTATGGAATGGATACTTGTGAATGTTCTCTACCCTGCTCTTTTTCCTAACCTCTAATGTAATAGTAAAGTTTTCATAACAGGTCGTTAGGACGATGAAGGAAGGTCAGATCATAATAATAATAATGCTTATATTTTGGGGTGGTATGCGAAATGGAGGATAATCACCATAAAAATGGCCCAATTTTCCGAAACGATTTTCTGATGATATATCAGCTGTAAATATTTACTAATTATACGAACTATGCATTCGCAAATAGGTTAGGTGATAACGACTACATTCAACTGCTTAAAAAAATTAAATGTTTATCATGCCAATCAAATCGTGGAGTACTGGAAACCGGTATTTTAGTAAGAAACCAAATATATTCTTATCAAAGGGTTGATCAGCTACATCAAATAAATTATTAATATTAAAAGTTATTAGCAAAGAATCAGTCATCAATAAACAATATCATAAACATTTGAGACCGCATAGCATAGTTTTGTCATAAAACGGTCAGGATGACATATCGCCGCCGTCTGACATATATCATATGTTACAATCATGATTATATGGTCGGTCAGTATAACGTCAATATCATTGGATATATAATTCGAAGAACATATTTTTCCCAAATAATATATTGCTTCTTTTCTTTTCTCAGATACAAAGAAATTCGTAGAACAACGTAAATCTTACACTTCCCTAGATTTGAAAAAACCAAATTTCTCTTAAATTTGGATAATCTTCAATAATTAGTTGTCCATCAAAGTCTTCATATTCCATTTCAATTTCTTCATTATTTCTGGGAAATTCTTTATTAAATCATTCTTGGTTATACTATTGAATCGCTTGATTCTATTGGTGGACTTCTCTGTAAATTCCCTATCTACATTTTTACCATACCATTTGACAATTCCTTCCAAATCAGCGCTTTGCCTCTAACGTCTGAAACAAATACGCATTCGTTAAGTAACGCTGTCATTCATTCCGAATATTGGCGACCTTCCCCATTACTTGATACCGTCCTTCAAAGATTGAACGACATTGAATATGGACAATATCCATGCGTTCCTTGCTCGTACTGTTGTCGAACCATTATTTCCCAGAACTGTAAAATGGGTTTATTTCAATATCTATGAAACATACTCTTTGAGAATTGCTTTCCCAGACATTTCTCTTACCACCAATCCTCGTAACCCAGCCAAGATAGCAGTCTGCAACACATGCAAACCTATACCTAGTCATCGTTTTTACCAACCCGCAACTTATTCCGCAATGCATATCAGACGTACCTTTCGGTAAACAAAATCAGTGCACTTACATTCTAGCTTAGGTCGATCAGCGAATGGAAATGCATTCACCGAGTATCGTATCACAGGCACTATGTCTTACTCACGCAATTATCTCTATATTCCGATATGCTAAGATTTTAACAATAATACTGATAGTCGCTGGTATCATCCATCACTATAGAAGAGCATGCACATGGCTACAGCAGAATAATCCGTATTTACTAGCATCCATTCTTTGGCATCAAACTCCTGCAGAACAATACTATACCCGCATCTTCCATATGGCCATGAGCAACATATTTAACAGAAAATATTAGTATTCCTACTGTACGAACAGGAGACGCAGTCGTTCCTTCCTTTGATTTTCCCGATGAAATACACAACGAAGATCCACATACGGAAAATATATATAAGCAAGACTGCAAGGATATGACCCTCGTTTCAGACTTTATCATGCATGGAGTTATTTATGATTAGAAAAATTGCGTAATTATCAAAACACGGCCCGCTTCATACGTCAACGACGTGCACTACGAAGAAGTCAATATACAATAATTTAATAATCGATGAAGACAAAACAATACCTTTTCCCCCCTGAAGGAGAACAATGCAACAACATTTTTCTCGACCTTTTTCATATTCCACCTTGATGAACATCTCTACTTACGTTTATAAAGCAATTACAGAAGATTATTGGGTTGTCCCATACCACGCTCCAACATTGCTTGCATGGGATGCCCATTCAAATGTTCAGTATGTCACAAAAAAAGGTTTTGCATGTTATATGATGAAATACATATCCAAGACTAAACCTTCCCATTTATACAACATTCAAGAGGGCAACAGATTTTATGAACACATTGTTGGAAGAACTCTCAACAGCATGAAAATAATCTTTCTTACTACAGGTGAATCAATATGTAATCTTCAGCTACAGTCATATTTCTTTCTATGGATCCTCCTTTGCTTCATTCTAAGTCAATTCTTCCTATACAAGCTATTTTGCAAAAACCTGATAATCCATATTATCCTGATGTTTTTAGAGAAATATTTTCAATGACTCATGGACAAGAGTTTGATAATATTCTTTATGAAGAATATTACCAAAAATACAACATTTGTCCATCAAATGCATGACCTCCAATAATTCAACAAGAGATTTACATGGAAGAATAGTTTGTAGGCATAAGCAAATTCTCACACAAAAACATTATACTAAAATTACAGATGGAGAACATTATTTCTATAATTGTTTACTACAGATCTGTGCATGGATGGAGAATACAATACATACAGTGAACATTATCTTTCAATGTTTCCTATTGAAAGACAAGCATTGAGAGAAGAAACCCAATCCCATATAGCTACATGCATTCACAACTAACATCACAATTTAATGAAATAATAGACTTTTTAATTATTTCCTTACAACAAAACTTTCATTACCACATACTAATACAGATTTTTTATGTCATCAATTACAAACATTTCAATGACTACATCCAATTACACCTCGTTTCGAAATAACAGATCTATACCTGAAGACCAATATCACATCATAAACATTCTTAAAAATAGATTCAGCAACAAATGCAATCAATGGTCATACTATTTCCTAACAGGATCCGCTGGAACTGGTAAATCATTTGTCATACATCACTTTCAATCATATCTCAAACATAAAAAGGAAATTTACTTTTTACCAGCTCCTACTGGTGTTGCAGCTCAAAATGTCATGGTCAAGCAATTCATTCTGGCTGCACTCAAGACTGTCTTTGCTGTAACTATTGCACATGAACCACAACTCCTAGAACAAATACATCAAGTAAAAACACTTATTATTGAAGAAGTTTCTATGGTTTCATTGTCCTTATTTCCAATACATTTTCGAGAATACACAACAATTCTTTCCATTTGGTGGCATAAATGTATCACTTGTTGGAGATCTAGCTCATTACCACCAATCAATGGATCACCTGTCTATAAGTCTTTGGAGTTTTGCATTCTTTATTTGTTTACACCTATGATTGAATGCTAAAGGTGTTGTCTATAAGTCTTTGGTTTCTTCAAACTTGTCATTGTCAACAAAACAACATGACATTTTATTGTCTTCTTGAAGAAATCCGTTTTGGAAACATTTCCAAGACATCATGGAATATGTTAGAACAAAAACATATCGAATATACAACCATTTCTCATGCACTAGATTGTTTCAATACTACTTATATTGTCAGTTACAGACAATTTGTTGAGTAACTAAATGCCACAATATGCAATCTTACAGTAGATAATGAGAACGAAATTATTCTACATGAATCTATAGACTATTTAGGTGAAGAACAATGGGAATTCACTCAAGCTCAAACTATTTTTAAACACTACATGACACGAATCTCCATCATTTGTGAGACTTCAAGTCAGTGCTCACATTATGTACTTAAAAAATGATATGATGGAACATAATCTGTGTAATGGAACTGTTGGCATTGTACTCATGTTGACAAACAATCTGAAACCATACATGTTGCATTGTCACTCAAGGACAACTTATAGACATAGTTTTAAGATCAATATCAGCATACTTTATTGTGAATGGACAACACACTACAAGAAAACAGTTTCTGTTACAGAATTGGTTTGCCTTAAAGCACAAGGTATCCAAAAGTATTTACTATTACTTTCCTTGATAGTTAATTTTTTGCCCAGGTCAGGCTTATGTTGCATTAAGCAGAGCTCAATGCTGGAATAACATACAAACCCCATGTTTAAGTCAAGACACTTTCATTGTTGATCAATCACTTGTGCAAGAATATGCTTGTCTTGAACAAAAGGGAAGATCAAGAGAGGATGGTTTACAATATATCATTCAGCTGCTTGGCCAAAAGGAATCAAAACAGTACTGTCATTGTTATAAATAATTTGATTTTCATAAGACATTTTAACAAGAGAAGCAATGAAGTAAAGTCAAAATTTAAAGTCTTCAGAGGAAAGATGCATCACTATGTTGTATTATATAATCACTAATTTGTGATATGAGGCATAATAAAATCAAATTCTACGAAATTTTACCATCTTGTATAATGTCAAAATAATATTGTACAAAATTAACAAATTAGGCAAAAAATATTTTATTCAAAACTCAAAAAATGCTGGGTATTAGTGAAAACGTGACTTTACTGCAACTGTATATCCTCCACTGACAGAATATGATGATAAATTTGTATATCAGGTTGAGAATTCATCTTTGCAAGAATAACTTTCATTTCTTCTGACTGTGTACATTATACTTATTTTTAAGATACAAAATAGACAATAAATGTTACCAGAACCTTTACTTATGCATTATATATTGTATAAATTATAATGTCATATAATAATAAATTAACTTATACAACAAAAATAATAATAATAAAATAAGGTCATGTGTATTTAAGCATCAGCATCAACTGAGACATTAAATAACATGTTTAATTGTTTGTATATTTCTTCACATGATGGTCGTTCATCAAGATTGTCACTCCAACATGCTGAATATAGCTGAACATATGCTTCTGGTGTTCCTGGAAATGGAGGATCTCGATAGCCTTGTTTTCTATGTTCTGCCACATTATAACGAGTGCATATTTCACAAGGAATTTTCCCACTAGAAATTTCCCAGAGCAGCACTCCAAGACTAAAAACATCAGCCTCCTTTCCACATTTATATCCTTCAATGCTGAATGATAAGGGATCTCTGTATGGTGCAGCACCTTCTCCTGTTGGTGTTGATATAATCTGTCCAGATAGGCCAAAATCACCAACATTTGCAATACCAGATTTGATAAGAATGTTGGCAGAAGACTGTAAATAGTAATAAGAGTTAGGAGCATAATAATTATTAGTTTATAATCGTTAAATATAAAATATGTAACATGACGAAAATAAAGCATAATATTACCAAGTCCTTGTGGATGATATTAAGCTTATGCATGTGTCTCAAACCATTAGTAATTTCCAGACTAAGCTTGTATTTGTCTTTCCATGTTAAACTATGAAAATGTTGCACCAAGTGATCGCGCAAAGTTCCGCCATCAGCAAACTCGAAAATCATATGATAATAGCCGTCTTCATCTTTAGATTGAAAATACATATGTCAAGTGTAGAAATACATCATCATGTAAACGATTAAAGGGTATACTTACAGACACCTAATAATTGGATAATATTCGGACAGCCGTTCAGTTTCTTGTGGTTTTTCAGCTGATGGTATATAAATCATTAGTTATAAATTGGTAGTAATAAAGCGGTGTATACTCTAATATTAAACAAAAATCAATAACAACCTCTTTGGCAAGCTTTTTGTAAAATTTTTCCTCAGAACCGTAGGCTTGCCTATACAAAGTTTTTGTGGCGACAACCAATTTATTGTGTTTCATCGTTGCCTTAAACACTACTCCATAGGCACCACCAGCAATAGGTATCTGACCCACATCAATGTTGCTTTTTGGATAGCAGCGGATAGCACCTTCTTGAATATGTTTGTCTATCCATTCCTTATTAAGTACTTCCTGCTGATAACTAATTACTGGAGATTGCAAATGTTGCTCATCACCTGGTGGATGCTGATTTGGATCATTGCTATTAGATAACTGTTTTAATTGTTTGTATATTTCTTCACAAAATGGTCGTTCATCAGGATTTTCACTCCAACATGCTGAATATAGCTGAACATACATTTCTGGTGTTTCTGGAAAAGGAGAATCTCGATAGCCATGTTTCCTACATTCTGCCACACTAGCCCATTTTTTACAAGGAATTTGCCCACTAGAAATTTCCCAAAACAGCACTCCAAGACTAAAGATATCAGATTTCCTTCCACGTTTATATGATTGGTCTCTGAGTGATAATGGATCTCTATATGCTGCAGTACCTTCACCTATTGATGAGGATGTAATCTGTCCGGATAAGGCAAAATCAGTAATTTTTGCAATACCAGATTTGATAAGAATATTGGAGGAGGACTGTAAATAAGAGTTAGGAGCATAATAATTATTAGTTTATAATCTTTTAAGTATACAGCAGTCACCAAAATAAAGTGTAATCATATATTACCAAGTCCTTGTGGATGATATTAAGTTTATGCATGTGTCCCAAACCGTTAGTAATTTCGAGACTGAGTTTATACTTGTCTTTCCATGTTAAACCATGAAAATGTTGCACCAAGTGATTGCGCAAAGTTCCGCCATCGGCAAACTCGAAAATCATATGATAGCCGTCATCTTCGACTTTATATTGAAAAATACATGTCATGTGTAAAAATACATCGTATGTATAACGATAAAAAAGGTATACTTACAGACACCTAATAATTGGAGAATATTCGGATGACCGCCCACTCTCTTCTGGTTTTTCAGCTGATGGTATGTAAATCATTGGTTATAGATTGGCGATAATAAAGCGGTGTATGCTCTTAATATCAAACAAAAAATCAATAACAACTTCTTTGGCAAGCTTTTTGTAAAATTTTTCCTCAGAACCGTAAGCATCCCGATACATAGTTTTTATGGTGACAACCAATCTATTGTGTTTTATCGTTGCCTTAAACACTGCTCCGTAGGCACCACCAGCAATAGGACGACCCACATCAATGTCACTTTTTGGATAGCAGCGGATAGAACCCTCTTGAATACGTTTGTCTATCCATTCCTTGTTAAGCTTTTCCCGCTGATAACAAATTACTTGAGATTGCACAGGTTCATAAATTCCCATCTGAGAAAAATGATGTGAAGAACCATTCCCCGATTGATCAACGCTTTGTTGAGGTACTTGCTGATTGCTTGCTTGTGTCGGAGACGGACGTTGAATAATCTCCGTTGGATAGACCTGTAATGTCATAACAGTAAAGATAAGCTTAGTACGATTACTTCCAGTAATAATCGAATATAAGTAGACGAACCTGTAATTGGGCATAATCCGATAGCTCGATCGGAAAAACTCCAACCATGTCTTGAACCGAGTTTTGTCGGTCCAATTGATGTTCAGATTGCTTTGGTGTTTGTACTTCAAGCTGTCTCGAATACGGGTACTGCGACAACCACCGTTGTTGACGTTGTTGCCGATGCGTAGGTGGGTTTCGCTGCGGGAACAGAGCGCCGTTCTGCTGTTGAATCGAACCTGCCGGAGCAAGTTGTTCATGTTTAGGCAGATTGCGAAGTAGAATACGTTGGCAGACCACTAGAGGTAAACTTACCAATGGGTAATTGTGAAAGACTGAGCGACGATTGGTCTTGTCGAGACTGCGGTCCTGCTTGCAATCTGTTTTGCGAGTTAGTCAGATCTTGATATAACAAATACTGATTAGAGCCTTCTATGTATTCTTGCGGCATTGGTTGATAGGTCGTGGATGCGGGATGCTGTTGTTGCACAGATTCTTCTCGATAATAGTTCCCTTGTTGGCTCTGCCAGGCCTGAAACGGTTGTTGCGACATTCTGTAGGTTAGCTACAAGAAACTGTTAGATATTAGTCGTTTTTGTATGATTGAGAATCTGCAGATCACGTTACACAATATACTTACATTACGGAGACGGGATGATATAATGGTAAAAGATAACAGACTGTGCGTCAAAAGAGTGTGCACTTTTCAGAAGTGGGGGTTTTTTAGCTGTCTTTCCAAAGAAAATAAGTACTTCCGTAAATATTCGCCAAATACAGCACCACCGCGCTAGTCACATATGCTGTGTGGTTAAAAGCTTTTTTAAACTATAACAGCTTTTCTCATATTTGTCGCCCTTTTGTTGTTATAGTAACACTTACAATTGAACGTCGGTCATAATTTAAACGTGCTGTTCTCTGTAATATCTGCAACATTCTGATATAATTTATTATCATAATATAACATTGCAAGTAGTCGTACAATCATAGCAAGAGAAAGAAGGGCTTAGAAACTTACGATGTTGCTTACGGGTTGCTTTTGATTACAGTGCAAGCTATGATATACGGTTTCATTGTTTCTAGAACAACCTTTATGAAAATAATAATGTTATTCAACGAGTGTTCATTATGAAGATGGAAATTTTTCGTTATGTATTTCATTGTTTAAATTACTTGTTCTATTTCTTTTAGCTCACGTCAAATTGTTTGACGACAGTGAAATGTAAGTAAACATAGCACCACATTATATATTAATCTCATTCTATGTATTGAGTCAAAAACACATTAAGTACAGTAATAACACTAGTAGCAGTACGTTGATTTTTATACGTAGATTTATTTACCTCCGTACCCAATGATAGTCTTTATGTAAATTGTCCAGTATATATACTATGCGCTTAATATTTATATACCTTGCTATTTCAAGTTAGCTTAAACTCAAAATACTGTACATAGAAGACTCATATATTATACATATTATTACAACTAAATTTGTTGTCAGTTGAAAATGTAATCTCTCAAATCCATCACATCAGATCTTGATACCATTCTCGCCCCGTTCAACTAACTTTAACTGTTTTCCCATTTTATTCTTTTTTATATCAATTATTAATCTTTCCTACCTTTTTGCTTTTAACTGTTTGCCCATTACGCTTTTTTATGAATTTTTCCTCCCTATAACCCTATGAGTTTTCCAATACACGTTTTGCTTATTAGCCTCATAAATTAACGTTTCTATTAATGCATCATAATGTTCATTCGTAATGTCCATTTGTGTTAATAATGTTGATTTCAAAGAGTTCATTTTTGAAGCAAAATCGAGTAAAGCCTGTGTAAAGATTGAAATATTGAGCATTCCCGTATCAGTTTTTTAGCTGTTCGTATTGTCCCGCACCAAATTATCCCCGACTTTTTTATTTCTTACCAGCTCAGCGTATCGTCCATTTTTTTTCCCAATCGGTATGTCCACAGACAAATGGTCAATATCAGTTAACCCGCCTGTATTCAAAAGCAGATTTTGCAAGTGGGGTCCGATCGCCGAATACATATTCTTTGATTGTAAATAATTTTTCACTGTAATAAAAAGGTAAATTAGTATTAAACACCGGATGTGTGTGCGATCTGGAACGCCTACTCTCAACCCGTTACTTACTTGCCGAACTCAACGATTTTGTTGCCCGTCCACCTCCACAAATTATGCCATCCATTTCAATAAGTTCGATCCACCCATCCGTTTTTGTAACTCTGACTAACTCCTTCATAATTATTTTCCATTCTTCGATCGTGTGGTTTGAAGCAATTAATCTCTGATAGACAAAGTCAAAGTGATTATCGGGAAACGGAAGACCAGAGAAAACATTGTGAGTAAGAAGAGAGAGATTTGGTGGTCGAGAAAACATTCTGGGGGTTGCTGTATCTAGTCCGATGAAATTTGATTTCGGATATGTTGTTGAAAGCTCAAGAAGCGATAGACAAGGGCCGCATCTGGATGAAAAGAGATAGAACAACAAATATTAGTCCTGTCTGTCGTCATTATGATTGCATCAAGATTTGCGCTGTTATTTGTGAACAATTATCGTAGTCTATCACAAAATCTGCTTTATATGATAATTGTTTTGTTGCTTACCCTACATCAAGAACCGTTGCTCCGTTCTTTAACTTTTCTTCAACAGGTGCGATAAAATTTCCTTTCCATGAGCATTTAACCAAGTTGTGTTGTAAGTGTAGCCGTTCACGTTTAAACTCATCGTTCGACATTGGGTAGGGCGAAGATATCTTGTTAGGGTAGCCAGCTGGATAAAACGACGAAGGTGCGTCTGATAATGACCTTGCCATTTGTGATGTACAGTATATATATTCTATACAAGTCGGTGATTTAAAATTATGGATAATTGTGTGTGAGAAAATAAGTATGAAAATGAGTGTAACAAAATTAAAGAAACCATCCATCAATCGACTAACGGCATACCGATTATTTCTTACGTTATTGGTAATCTTTTCTATCTCCTAGTACTTTTTGGATTTGATTTTTCTGCTTGTATTTGTTGTCCAGTCTATTTTTGAATTGGTTTTATTTTTGATGTGAATAAAGATCGGTCGATTATTAGGAATTTTATCACAGTCAAGAGGCTCGCAGCTATTTAAATATGATAAGCGTCAAATATGAGCACAACAATTGAATACGTTAATGTAAATATATATTATGCATATTCATTGTATTCTATTTACGTTAATTAGTATTGGGCCTTACTCTTCACATTTGTTCAATAGTTCACGAATTACGAAGGATCTGCAAACAACATATGTTTATTATTACAAGTGAACCAAACAGCAGTCAGTCGATGATGCAATAGAACAGGGGGGAAAGCAAAGAGAGCAAATAACGAAGCATAATGAACCCAGCCGACACATTGTATTTACTTAACCATCCAGAGCGTCTGTATCTACAATACATTGACCATTATGGTTATACTTATGTATTGGCTTGCATCCCGTCGTATTATCACACATGAATGACAGAGATCTGTGGAGTTTTGTGCTATCCAACAATATTCGGAATATTGTCTGTTGTTGGAGCAATCACTTTGCTAAATATAGAAGATAACCAAGAGGGCTAACGAAGTAAATGGTGAATGAAATGGTTTCAAAAAATAGTGTTTGAGGCATAAGTACTACGGAGGGAGAGGGCAGAACAGGAAACGTGCATAACGGTTAGTAATATGGTTTGTTGAGGCAAGTCATAGAGAAAGCCAATGTATTCAGTATTCAATAAACGATACATGTGATCTCTTAATGATTTAATTAACTAAACCAAACATTAACTCATCCTCCCAAACCACTGTCTTACTCTACTCTACTCTACCGCTATTAAAATGGTTTCCTTATCGGTTTGCCCTGCTCGTTTGCGAGGGATTTATTTAGACTTGTGGGACGCATCAAATTAACCATGCCATTTACTTGGTTACGTATTAAATGAAATTGGTACGTTTGACTGACTGAAATCTTAACGATGACCGGATGTGTATAGGGAAAATTTGCATGTCTTTACTAATAAAGGTAAGAATGATGATTTGATGTTCGAAATGAAAAAAGTTAAAAGCGCAAATCGATAGACACAGACACAGAAAGCGAATTCATGATTGGAAGCTGGCAAGTTGCTCAGGAAAGTGAAACACGAATCTGGGGTAAATGCAAAACGCATATGCGGTGTAGAAGCTTATACGGCTTTTTTGTTTCCGTTGTTTGATATAAGCAACAAGTATAAAATAACAAAATATATATCATCGTTATGGTTTTGCTTAATCGGGCGCACTATGAAGATCAATAATTTATTTGTGGTACAAAACAATGATATATAATACGAACAAGACATTATCCATATATCGGAATTTGATTGACAATTTATTTGGATAATAGCAAACTTTCGTCATATGAAACAAAATGTATTGCAAAATGCAGTGCATGCGCAGTACATATGTCGGGATTGAAAAAACTTAAAACCAATGCTGTTCGGAACATAGAATTGTAACGAAACGGAATAATATCATTAACGGAGTTTACTTACTGTTACACATTTGATTAAAAGTACCAATTAGAAAACGTTACATATACGCAAATTAGGTTAAATTTCCCAGCACATTATTCTTGGACCGATCAACCAATCACCATCGACACCTGTGCAGTTATGATGCCTGTTCATCAAAATTTGTGCTACGCTTCCCACTTTAGGTCAGCCAAACATGTTCCAGAACATGAACTTTAGGGTCTTTTTTCACTCAGCCCATTTTTACATAATCACAATCATTCCCCAGCCTTTCAATTCTGTCACACATTGTTACCACTTCTCACTCGCTCTCTTTTTTCTATTGTCTGCTTTTCTAAATTTATTTTAATTAAATAATTCTGTGTACTGTCTCTTTCGTTTTCACCGTCATGGCAGTCTAACGACTACGCAGACAACAATAAAAGTTACAACAACCGTTATCACGATATCAGGATACATTCTCCGATTCTTGTCCGTGTGTTTATGTGCGTCGCTGCCAGATAATTAGCCCCCACTTTCCATCTATATCTTATACCCCGTCGGGCTTACGCTCTCTAATGCATCTAGCACGCAAATACCAGAGATAACCATGTTCTTGCCATCAGTAAATGATCAGCGAACCAGTCTAATAAAAGAAGAGTACCTAGTGGTTGACGGGGTTTTAAAAGATGGGGAAACGAATCCTATTAAACGAGGCGAGCTGAATGACCAATTCTTAAGATCTCCCGTGTTGAGTATCGAATGATATTAAATGATATGACGTTATAATTTCACTTGTCCCTCTGACTGCTGATACAGATATTAATGATTCGTTCCGTCTCACACCAATGAATAATCATTGAATTATAGAGTTTTACGCTCATCGGTTAATAACATATCGCTAATGAACGTATGCACACACTCATAATGATGATTATAGCCATCGCTATTTTGATTCTTTTGAAAGGTTATTACTATTATTATCTTACGATAAGAATAATATTAACAAAATCCGCTCATTATTCAGTTGAGGCTTAGGCTCTTTATAATTAGGTGCCACAATATAACTATTACCGAATTTGTTTATACAATGGTCTGTTGTCGTACCCTTCACAGCTTCAATTGACATCGTAGCATATATTTGACATCATTTTATTAGTAATGTTTATTGTTATGAACGCAAATACCATATCTGGTACAAAAATGAAAGCCCAAAGGGTAATAAACAACAAAGCTTTGATGTTGAATATCATATTATGCAATACACAACAATAACAATTACGTCTTTGTTGCATGATGCGTGCGAGAGTAATACAATATAAATTTATGATTGTGTGTGACATTTAACATTGTTCTTGTCGTTTGAATGCTTACAATACCGACTGCAATAAAAACTAGTACTTATGATTGTATCCCAATAGCAGAATACTGCTTATGTAAGCTTCATTCCTTAATTGAAATTAACAATGCACATGCAATTGCACTATGCCTTGAACATGTTATTAGTGCTGGTGTTTATAGTCTTGTTCTACTACTACAGGCACATCTATTGTCTAAAGAAAACTGTTAAACAACCTAACAGATGAAGGTTACTTGACAATTAAATTGGTTCTTTGTCATGATCAAAGTTTCACTTTTTCAGATAGTTTGTTAAATATGACTTAGTATCAGTATTCAATGTTTATATTAATATGTTCGTCGTGCTTTATAAATGCTATCTATTAGATTACATGGCATCTTTATATGCTTTAATCTAACTCATCTTAATATATGGAGATAAGGATTCTAATATTAAGGACCAATAAAAAGTCACTTTTTGTTATTCATTGCCATTATGTATATTCTTTCTTTCTACAACACAACATTTACTATTACCACACATTCTCATGCCAGAATCTTTTGCAGTGTGTTACTGACATTATCAAATTGTGTTATACTTTCACAGATATCTTATTTATAAGTGTTCAAAGTTTAAAAGTGTGACAAACACCACTGCCAAATAATTTCTCAGAATTAAGTTAAGGGAATGTGTCAACTAATCTAAGACTAAAGTTTTTCATTTGCACTGTATGTCTTTCTTTTAATAATAGCTTTCATATTCTGAGTGCAACATTAGCAGCCTTTTGATACAATCCAACTTGGTCAACTGGCTTCTTTCTACTTTAATTCCACTTTGAATAGTAAAGGCCAATGATCCTTTTTATTCAACTGTCATGCTAGCAGTCTTTTTCATTGCAATAACAAACACTAAAATTATACTGTGTACTATTATATTAGATATCTTTATTCAGCTGCTTTCTGATACAGTTCAACTGTCTTCTTAGTATCCAATTTTTAACCCCAATTCCATAATAAGACTAGCAATTTCTTGATCAGCCACTGTTTTTTGATGCCTATTTTCTACTTCAATTTCATTTAGATAACAATTCTTTTTCAGCTGCTGTTTTTGATACAATTCAACTGTTTTCTTGGCGTCTCAACTTTCTTCTTGGTATATATAACATCTTTTTCTACCCCAATTCCATATTGATAGCAAGCACCAAGATTATTTTGTACAGCAGCATGTCATGCAACTTTGCATCATTTTCTACTCCAACTCCAAGACTATTTGTGCATTATCATTTCCTTGTTCAGCTGCTTTTAGACACTATTTAATTACACTTTAGCATCTTTTCTACTCCAATTTAGTTTGATAGGATAGCAATAACCAAAGAGATGCTATGCAGTAGTATATATGCTCAGCTATTTTCAACTGCCTTCTTTGCATCTTTAATTACATTTAGATAGCAATTACAAAAGGTTATTCTGTGCAATGGCATAACTTGTTTTGATAATATTCAACTACCTTCTTAACTCTAAGTCCAACTTGATAGCAATAACCAAGATTAATTAAGAGATTCTTTTCCATATGCATAGAAAAATTCAATTAACCAGAAACACTGTCCACAATCAATTTGGTTCTTGGGTTTTCAGCAGGAGGGTTATGCCATTAATACTATCCATTATGTGTTAATCAAGTCAACAATATATTCTATACGCTTTCCTTTTAACAGTTGTTCATGGTATTTGCTTGAAGCACATCAGAAAATAGATATTCTTGAAGGTATTTACAAGGTGTCTATATCATTCCAACATGCTGAAATATAATGTGATATATTCTTTGGGGGTTCCTAAAATTGAAGCATACCAACTACCATTTAACCTATATCAATATTGTTATAATACTAGAGTCTATCACATGGGGTCTCTTCCCGTCACCAGAAAAACTGACTTTTTATTTCGTTTACTAGAAATGTCTTCTAAGCATCTCATCTAGGGGGCCAAGATATGGACGAGTTCCTTGAATGTCTGGACGGCTTTTCTATTGTAAGGCCAGATCCTGACAAGTCAAAGTCTGTTATCTTTGTCACGCCGGCACGAATCAATATAATGTGAGACGACTACGTATTTATTAATTATTGTCGTACATCTTTATGTAAAATACGGCGCCGCCCGTGAGGATATCCGTCGAGCATACTTGAAGATCATTAAATATCTACAACCGTGTGTCTATTAATAAGGTTCTGTTAGTAGCGCCATATAAATATGACGATTTTGCCATATAATTAATTCCTCAACGCTTACCTTTATTTACTCACTCACAGCAATAATGAACATTATCCTTGCAATGAATTTGAAACTAAAAGTATCGCTTGGTGCAATTATAAAATCATCGTTTGTAACAGCCAACCTTCTTTTGACAAAGTTTCAATCATCTCATCTTTGTTCTGTGAATGGAAAAGATTGTAAACGCCGTTCTTTCTCCCAAGTGCCTTCACTTTTGCTTTGAAAACTGCTCCATATCTTTAGTAACGATGTAGTCTTCGAAGCAATAAACCGGATGCTTCCATCTTCAATGCTCTTCCTTAAACATTCCTTGTCAGGATGAATTTGTTATTGCTGATAGAATAACCTGCAGAGAGTATCACATGATGCGTGGCATAGGACATACACCAACAATGTATCGAGGACGACATAGAAACATCGCCACTTTATTATTATAGCATTAATCTAGAATGTGATGTTCGAATTAGTGTATTCGTAAACAGTAATTGACACAATAGTTTGAGCTAAAAGTTACTTGAAAACCAAGCATGCTTGCAAGTACATCGTGCTTCTACCCATAATTATTATTTATTCCCGCATTGTAGTTTTGAAATTAAGATGATAGAATGACTAATTCTAGATAGAAATGTACAAACGCATGATAAAGATATAATTTATCAGAATTATTACATCCAGAATTATAGCGTAATTCACTCTTTTTTTTTCTAGAGAAAGGCTGTCGCACATACTGTACGATACGACTGTGCAGTACGTCTATGCAATTATATATACTGTATTTCAAGTAATACTGAGGCTAAACGTGCGAGCACGTTGGCTATCCCATATGCTCCACCGACATTCGGACTTGTTTGTTCAATATAAGATTTCTTTGTTGAAACGTAGACTTTTTTAAGTTATTAATGTAATAATTGCTAATATTTGTGCGTGTCAAATACACGTAATTCAGGTAGTAACATGCATAATCTGTTTCAAGTCTTTGAAGCATGCGTACTAAAAATGGCGGTGATCGATCGATTTAAAAATGAGTTTTTTTTTATTATAATTCAGTAAATGAAGGCGTAAACTATATGTGTGATAAAAGTCCGACCACTAATTTTACAAACAACTGATTCTATCTGACACTTAATAATTTTATAAGTTTCGGGATTATTTGTGTAATTTTGTAGAATTAGCATACCAATACACACTAATACCCGTTACCTTACAATAATGAACTGTTGCAAACCGTATTCATTTTTTGCATTAATCCCATAATTAGAACTGGGAATTATGCAATATTCAGGGGAAGCGGGGCGGGGGTGGGGTTCTGAAACACAAAAGTCTGTGAAGCGGGGAACCATTCCAACAAATCAAGTCAGTGCCTTCTTTATATGAATTTCATGTTTATTAGACGGTCGATGTTTACATAACGTAAATTCGATGGCGGTTTCTCAAACTGCCCCTTTCCAAAGACCCCATTCCTAACCTGCATCGTTGATTACGAATCTGCCCTGCCGCTCTGCGAATTTTAGATAAAGCATTACCACATGTCACATCAGAATGAAGCATCAAGAATACATTAGCTTAACCCAGCGCTTACAAAGAACTAGGCTATTATGGAATAACTTATTCTAAATGAAGAAATGACATAATCTGGTGAACCGGCTATTACTATGCTTGATTCAATGAAACAAGGGCATGCAAAAGTGTCGGATGATTGTCATGTTGCATATGTTTCCCATTGGTCCCCCCGCATTGCATTGCATAGTCTAACTTACTTTTTTATTGACTAATCCATATGAAAGCTATATAACATGTGATGACGATGAATCGCAAACTTTCCCCCACCCCAAATTTCAGCAACGAATATGCGAACAAAAAATCAGACTAGTCGTTCCAGTATAAAAATATCCTTGACCCTGGATATCCCCCCACAACAATGGCTTTAAACAACATTTACAAGCAGTGGTTAGACGACAGCATTAGAAAAAGACTCATCACATATTACCCCGAGGATATTTTAACGGATAAAAAGATTGTTGGTTCAGGTGGCAATGGCGTGATACAAAAAGCAAAGTTAAAATCAACGGGGAGAACCATTGCATTAAAGAAGCTATTTCCAGAGACATACCGGTACAACGAAGAACTATACAAGAAATTTGTCAAAGAGGTTCGTTACGAATCAAATCCATGCTAACAGTTGAAAAAAACAAAACAAAACTATAATTATGAATTGAGCTGTATAAATACATAATGTATATTAATATATTAGCTTATAAATTGTACAAAAGTGAGAGATCATCCAAACGTTATCCGTTTTCTGGGGTTGAATAAAGGTAAAGCATTAAAAGTAAGCTGATAAATCAACTTTGTCTGGTTTGTATTAACATTGATTCTGATGACAGATGCATCCAATCAGTATCATATAGTCATCGAATATGCGGATGGCGGTACTTTGCGTGAATATTTAGCAAAAAACTTTGGAACGTTATCTTGGATAGATCGATACAAGTTAAGCTTGGATATTACTAATGGACTGAAATATATGCACGACATGGATATCCATAAAGATTTGGTATTGCGCTTGTTTGTATTCATCAAAGACTAGTATGGACTAAAAAATTTAACGCACGCTTATTATATACAGTCTCCAAGCGATATTTTTATCCACGCAGGAACAGCAAAGATAGGACTATCTACTGTACTTTCACAGATAACATCGACATCGCGAAGGGAAGCCAATACAGCATACGTTGATCCAGTATCAATCAAGCAACAGATACCTTTCTATAGGCGCGGAAAGGCATCCAATATTTTCAGTTTAGGAGTGCTTTTGTGGGAGATTTCGAGTGGGCGAACGCCATGTGAGGGACTCGAGCAAAACCATCTTATTGCGGTATACAGAATGAAAGGTTCCCGTGATAAGCCTGTTCCCGGAACACCCCGAGAATATGTCAAACTGTATACTGCATGTTGGGATGAAGATCCTGCGAAACGACCATTGGCTAAAGAAGTATATCAAATATTGACTTATATGTATGAGCAATTAGCATTAGAAGAACATTTAGTGGCGGATGAGACAATGAATATAATCAACACCGGATTGAAAAAAGGAGATGATGTTTTCCCGTCGGCTAGTTTGATCAGACATTGGCTTTATCAAAGAAACTTTAATGATGTAGATGCTCTTGAGATTCTTACAGCTCATAATAATTGTAGTGTTTGTTGTCTATTAGTTGGGTTTTTCCATCACTACGGAATAGGAACACCTAGAAATTACGCACGAGCATACAATTGGTACTTGCACGCATTTGATCAAGGCAATCAACTTGCAGCATATTGGCTTGGCATATGCTATCGGTATGGGTATGGAATAGAAGAAGATACAAGTAAAGCGGTTAGATTCTTTCAACAAGCGGCTAGCCAAGGTTGCACAGCTGCACGATTTCATCTCGCTGTTTGTTATGACTTTGGGGAAGGAATACAAAATGATTTTGTAAAGGCTGGCGAGTACTATCAATTAGCAGCTGCTCAAGGTCATGTAAATGCACAAAACAATCTTGCGGTATTCTACAAAAATGGTTATGGTGTGAAAAAAAATATGAAAAAGGCCGTCGAGTTTTTTCAGCAGGCAGCCAACCAAGGTTATGATCGAGCTCAGTACAATCTTGGCGTATGTTATGAGTATGGATTTGAAGTAGAACGGAGCATTATTAAGGCTATTGAACTTTATCAATTAGCAGCAAATCAGGGGAACGAAAAAGCACAGACAAAACTCACGAGTTTTAATTCAAGGAGGAGTAGTACGAGTATGGGTTACTATGGTTAATAAAAGTTTAGCAAACAAAGTGTGATTGTTGGTTAAGAATAATAATAATATAATTGTGTTAATTAAGAGAATCATGTTAGCTTCGCGTGTACATTTACTGACAATAGCTTGAACAATTTTAACAGCCAATTGGTAAAACTTTTCAAATAAAAAAATGCTTTAGATAAACAAACACTTTATTGACAAATGGACTGGTAATAACTAAATAAGAAATTCCCACAACGATATATCTGTCTATTTATGCCGATATGCTTATAAGTTATACACCTATTGTCGTGGCGATTATCACTTAGTGTTATCATTGCTGATACGTACGTCATATCCATCAACTCTGAGTTATGTAACATAAGGCGCACCGTAACAGTAACTCTTGTATCTACTACCAAGCATATATTACAACTTGTTTCCTCGGTCATTTTTGAGTACATATGCTTATATACTATCGCAACTTTCTGCATTAGTTGTTGAGTATAACAGAGTTGACATACAGAAACTGAACCTGAAAAGTGCTCGGCCTCGATTTCTTTATTTGTGTAAGCTTCAGATTCCTTTCCTACACAAAAATTTGATGTAAAAAGCAATAATATTTTAAACAACAAAGAATTCTATAACTATATTCACTGTATATAACTAGTTACATAAAAATTCGTAAAAACATTATGAAATACTAGAATATTGTTGAACAGAAACTTATAGACTAATATTAAATGCGTCTTGTGTGTGCAATATGCTGTAAAAAAGTCTTATAACGAAAGTTTATGAAAAAACTGCTGAATTAGTTGTAGAACGCGACATTTCAATTAATGGCTCTAATTGACTTTATGCTCAAGGAATATGTGACTGGTTTATCATGTACGAATAAAGTAATTTTAAGATTCTTGACGAAATTTGGTAAAGATCAACTGCTGAAATATCAGGGAACAACTTGCACATCTACTTAATGCTTGCAATAAATTTGTTTTATTTTTTTAGACATATTTCGTTCGTTTGTTAATATTAAGTTTCCGCTTTTGCATTTGAATTTTCTGACTTTCTTTTAAACCTGATGGATTGAAAAATTTCCCATAACTGCTTTAAATGGATTATATAATCAAACCATTGCCAAAGTCTTCTCTGGCTGTTTTGGAATTGTATGTGTATAATGCAATTAGATTAGATATGCAGATGGCTAGCTATAAAATACATGTCTGCTATTGTTATTGATTTGTTTTTATTTATTGTATGTTTCCATAAGTGATTTGACACTAAACTTCAATTATCTCTTCAGTAATTTCTGGGAAGGTCATATATACAGTAACTGTTTTACTACATAGTCAATCTGGTTATAATAAACTCTGGATATAAAGATAATGAAGACTCCCCTCCAATAATTTTTAATTAAACAAAGATTTTTAAGAACAATGTAATTGGCTATAGCAAAGATCTTCATTATAAAAAAAATTGATCTCTGTTATAAGTATATAAACAGACTGAACTTCATTATAAATATTGTATTACCATATCATAATAACAGATAAAGATTTGTCATAGAATGAGTACTAACAAAACCATTTAGAACCACATACCAATGCTATGTCTAACTTGACTATTAATAGTCTAAAAAATTTGATTCTATGTAACTAATACTACTACTTGCATATCTTGCAAAAAAGCAAGAAAAACTGATTAGACCAAAGATTCAAAGAAGTCAGAGAAGAATTGATCTTAGCCATTCAATGCATGGTGCTGTTGATTAAACCGAAGATTCAAAAAAATCAGAGACAAATTTGATTCTAGAGCCTTTGCCAATGCTGTTGCTCCTGCATCTCCAATCTGATTAGACTCCAGATTCAAAGAAATCAGAGATGAATTTGATTCTAGAGCCTTTGCCAATGCTGTTGCTCCCATATGTCCAATCTGATTAGAATGAAGATCCAAAGAAGTCAGAGATGAATTTAATTCTAGAGCCTTTGCCAGTGCTGTTGCTCCTGCATATCCAATATAGTTATTAACAAGAATCAAAGAAGTCAGAGATGAATTTGATTCCAGAGCCTTTGCCAATGCTGTTGCTCCTGCATCTCCAATCTGATTAAGTTTAAGATTCAAAGAAGTCAGAGATGAATTTGATTTTAGAGCCTTTGCCAATGCTGTTGCTCCTGCATCTCCAATCTGATTATTATAAAGTTCCAAAGAAGTCAGAGAAGAATTTGATTCTAGAGCCTTTGCCAATGCTGTTGCTCCTGCATCTCCAATCTGATTACAAGAAAGTATCAAAGAATTAACAGAAGGGTTTGATTCTAAAACATCTATCAGTGTAATGGCATCTCTCAGCTTCCAAGAAAGATCCAGTGTTCTACCTTGTAAATAATTATTATTGTTATTATTATTAAATAGAAGTTTTAATTGTTTGTAAATTTCTTTACATGATGGTCGTTCTTCAGGATTTTCACTCCAGCATACTGAATATAGCTGAACATATGTTTCTGGTGTTCCTGGAAATGGAGGATCTCGATAGCCTTTTTTCCTATTCTCTGTCACACTTGCACAATCTTTACAAGGAATTTTCCCACTAGAAATTTCCCAGAGCAGCACCCCAAGACTGAAAATGTCAGACTTCTTATTCTTTCTATGTTTATATGGTTCATCTTTAAATGATAGGGGATCTCTGTATGCTGCAGTACCTTCACCTACTGATGAGGACCCAATCTGTCCAGACAGACCAAAATCAGTAATTTTTGCAATACCTGATTTCATAAGAATATTGAAGGAAGACTGTAAATAAGAATTAGGAGAATAATAATGATTAGTGTATAATCATTAAGATAATGGTGAGCAACATAAAGTGTAATCATATGTTACCAAGTCTTTGTGGATGATATTAAGCTTATGCATGTGTGTCAAACCATTAGTAATTTCCAGACTGAGCTTATACTTGTCTTTCCATGTTAAACTAGGAAAATGTTGCGCCAAATGGTTGCGCAACGTTTTGCCATCGGCAAACTCGAAAATCATATGATAGCCATCATCTTCGACTTTAGATTGAAAAATACATATATGTCAAGTGTAAAATATTCTAGTAAAATACAACGTATTATAACGATAACAAAGGTATACTCACAGACACCTAATAATCGGATAATATTCGGATGACCGCTCACTTTCTTGTGGTTTTTCAGCTGATGATATGTAAATCATTAGTTATAAATTGGAAAATAATAAAAGCGGCGTATGCCCTAATATTAAACAAAAAACCAATGAGCAACCTCTTTGACAAGCTTTCTGTAAAAATTTTTCTCACAATTGTGGGCATCCTGATACAAAGTTTTTATGGCGACAGTCAATCTATTGCGTTTCATCGTTGCCTTATATACTGCTCCATATGAGCCACCAGCAATAGGTATACGACGCACATCAATATCGCTTTTTGGATAACAGCGGATAGAACCCTCTTGAATACTATTCTCAATCCATTCTTTGTTATAAACATTATTAGGCTTTCCCCGCTGATGACTGATTACTTGAGATTGCAAAGATCGCTCATCAGTTTCCATTTGGGAAGGTTGATTTGGAAACCCGTTTCCTAGTTGACTAAAGTTGTTTTGTAATTGAGACACTTGGTGAATATTTCCTTGCGATTGAGACATACTTGGATTACCCGTTGGTGGATAGACCTATAATGTCATAATAGTATGTGAATGCGTAAGTTTGGTACAGTTACCTTACAGCAAACCGAATATACAAACCTGTTGGACATACCCCGATTGCTCGGTCGGAAAAACTTCAAACATGTCTTGAACCGAGTTTTGTCGGTCCAATTGATATTCGTTTGGTGTTCGTACTTCGCGCTGTCTTGAATACGGGTACTGCGACAACCACTGTTGTTGACGTTGTTGCCGATGCGTAAGCAGGTTCTGTCGAGCAGACAGAGTGTTGTTCTGTTGCTGAATAGAACCTGTAACTAGTTGTTCGTACACAACCATATTGGAATCGTCTACTTGTTGTTGGTTTGTCAATTGCGAAATAGAATATGTTGGCAGACCACCCACATCAGTATTAGGTAATTGTGAAAGGTTGAACGATGATAGAGGCAATTGTCCTGCCTGCAATTCATTTTGCGATTGATACAATAGAGACTGATTTGAGCCATCAACGTATTCCTGCTGGTGATGCTGTTGCTGATGCTGACTCTGCCAGGTTTGAAAAGGTTGTTGCGACATTGTAGGTTAACTACAAGAGACTTGCCTACATATACCTATGTACATGAGCCAATAATTGAGGGTTTACAGATCACACGACATACTTTTAATGTTAAGGTTATACAAACGTTACCTTATCCCCGATTACGACATGGCAACCCGAAGATTGTCAGTAAATATGATTCACAATTAATGGTTGATCAGTGAACTCTTCCATAATATCATCAGGAGCATTTGCGGGTTTACATATGTTATTCCCGTAACGTTCAATAAGGCTTGATAGATATCAATTCATCCCCGAACATGATTATATACTATTCATCTATCCTCCTATTATCTTCTCTAACTCCAAAATTAACTATCAACTAGTCTCTCATAACTTCCCTTTTTCGTTACCAATAATGCTGTAATCGACCACTGGCCTATACTTTGAATGCATTTCAAGATACTGTGTTTGATATAGTGGTTTTGCTTTTTAATCGTCAAGGAAGAGTATATAGTAAGCGAATAGATTGCTTGATAAAATACGAGAAGCTTTAACGTAAATTGCGCCGCTGTTGTAGATAGTAAAAAACTTTGTGATTGTTTTTAGTATTCAATACAATGGTAAGCACTTTACCGACCAGCAACCATTCAATATGCCGTAACATTGTATCTGGGAAGTAATCTATAAAATTTTGAGATTTAGCACCCTTGTGTTTCGAGTTCTATTTGGTTTATTTAATATATTACAAATTGACGCTAGTGTTGTGATTTTTATGACTAAAATTATTCTCGTTTAATTATCGCTTAATTTAAATTATGCATAAATAATTATGACGCTAGTCACACACGAAGAAAAATTTTTTATTAGCGGTTAGATGTAATAGTAAGGCATTTTGTTAAGTTTCCCAATTAACAATTTAACCAGAACAAATAGATTAATTCGGGAGTACAGTACGCTTAAGAAGTAATTGTTCAATTAATTCTATTGATAAACGCGCTTTTCGATGGTACTGCTCTATTTATATGTTCAACGTTTCACTACTGGCTGTCTTCCCATGCAATATTGCGAGTATTGCTATATGTGCAACAGGCTCTCTTTTGTATAGCAGAATAATCTACGTAATAATTATTCTAATTTTTTTTCTTTTAAAGTCCGTAAAGCAACTATTACAGATCTAATATTTGGTTGTCCGTTATTGGCAATACATGTTTCAATTCTTGCCGTGCGTGCTTTTAATTAAATCCATATGTGCAAATTTTGCATTCCTCTAGTAATAAGTAAAGCAGTTTTATTTTTATTTCTGTGAATTTTTTGAACGCTTTGAAGCCGAAATTCTGACCATGAATATTCGATCAAAATTCAAATTAGGCGATTGACTTGGCCATTCTGACAAAGTATTAGATTTGGTATATGTCTACAAAAATCAAGGTTAATCAGTGATCGAAGTGAGTTACAGTCAATACATGGAAAGCTTTTATCTATTCTGGTAGAGTCTCTTTTTCTCTTGGCATTACCATATTTCTTCTAACCCAAGTTCAGGTACTTGATGTAGAGGATTATACCTCTTCTTTATGCCTGATTGGTAGTGTATATCTATGCGAAATTGGTTGACAGACTTCTCGTCAGTTAAACATCGTGGCAAGATTGCGGAGCACGACTGAGTAATAAGGTTTTTCGTTCATAGTGTGTGTTAGGAGAAACTAATGCATGAGAATGACATGGAAAACTATATTTTACTCAAGTACCTTTTTATATTAATGTTGCAAATAAGAATTAGGGAATACTTTGCATGAGATTATTGTTTATAATACCCTGAATAATATTCGATGACTATTCTTCGAAAATAGTATCCGGATATTTTACTCGGAGTACTTTTAGTCAAGCAACAGTCGTTGATGCCCCAATCATGGCCGAACAAAAATTCCGATAAACAACATATAACAATCAACTCGAACACTACAAGCGCGTAGATATATCTTTCGTTTTTTCCTATTTCCTTAGTGACATACAGACTACAGCTAATAATGCACTTTGATAGTGAGCTTCAAAAATTCGAATTCGTCCAGCTTCTGATACATCAAACTTGTTACACAACATGAGATAAACAAAATCATAAAGATAGTGACAACAAATTGCCATAATAATTGCACGCATAATTTTGTTTATAAATCAAGCTTCCCTAAGCGATTACTTGAATATTTGGAATAAAAACATATAACGAAGTTAATTATGTGATAGAAGTTTAAACATGGTGATTGGTTGTAGCAATTATAAAATTTGTCATACGATTTCATCAGTATACAGTGATTGGTTGTAAAGCAAATTGCATGTTGTCATAATTTCACGTGAATATGAATATTCTGTATCGTTTGTTAATAGTTAATCATGTAAAACGTATCATGTAATGAACGGCATTTGGTAGTTTTTTTTCTTCATTGACCATCGAACAATTCTAAACAAATGATGAGGTAAGGCCGATTATATTCTCTCAAAAATGAATCTCCGATGCATAAATATTCTAATTTCTTAACTTTTTGAGTGATCCGTAAAAATCATTATATTTTTTGTTTTCTTCTGCTCCTGTATATTTGTATTATTTTGCAACTAATAAACATTGTTTACGAAAGTCTTAATATGCCGAATATTATTTGACTTTAGGCTAGACTTCGTTACAAAGAGAGTGTTTGTTTTACCGAATTCCTCGTTGTAATAACGAGGTTCGACTGTATGTTGGGATGGTCATCTACGCTGCGATGAATCTTGAGCTTGAATAGTCAATTAAACGAAATATAAGAACAAAAATTACGTAAACTCTAGCAGCATTTCGTATGCATGATTACAAACCTCGTTTACAAAGCATACTTCGTTCGAATATCTGATCATCTTGTAAGCAACAGTGATGCCCGATGCTGCTACTTTTGTTTGAAAACTACACCAAACTCACCATGGCCTATTGCTATGCAGTCTTTATTGATTGAACTACCATAGGGATAGAATCGAATGTATTCATTTTCAAGACTCTTTTCTAACTATTCCTTATCAGAGGCAATTGATATCATGATCGTTATTCCTGTTGACTTGAAGCTCTGATTATTCTTAAGAATAAAAGAAATCATAGATTACATAGGGTCAGGTCATTCATAATAATGTGCTGATGTCGAATTGTCCATGTATTTTATTCACTCGCAAAAAATTTATTATTTGGCGATCTGTCGTCGATAGCACGTGTCTATTCACAGTATTTCACATTAAGTTAGACCTACACAACAGCCACATATCACGTGCCATTACGATACATGCTCTACCAGACTACGACTTTGAATTATTACAACAACATGGCCTCAAGTCACTCTGATAAAGAATGGTTAAAGAAAAATATCGAAGATGGAAGCATCCAATTTTATGCTTACTATGATTTTATCGAGTCGCTGTGCATCGGTATCGGAAGATATGGAGCAGTTTTCAAAGCGAAAGCCAAGACGCTTGATAGAATGATCGCATACAAGCCTCTTCATTCAGAAAGTGAAGATGAGATGTTCGAAAATGTCGTAAAACAGGTTGGTATTATGATGGCAATTTGTACATTCTGACATTGTTGTTACTTAGATCACACAACGATACTTTCAGCTCAAGATTCTTTGCAAGGTCGATGACCATCCTAACATCATTCGGTTCCTCGGATTGAGTGAAGGTAGGCATTGAGTAAATTAGGTTACG